TATTATTACTATGTAATAATAACATATAATTCATATGCATACATACATATAGATTATTGTAGAATTTGAGTATTCTAATTTTTGATTCATAACAATCGAAAATCAAAAATATAGTTATATCAATTATAAAGTAAAAGTAATATTAGTTACGTTTATTACAACAATATACACTCACAATTTATTAATCTATAATTTATCCTTATAATAATTAAATAAAAGCAATAGATAATAGAAACATCTTCCAAATTTTATTTATGACAGATAATACTAGATATAATAGTTTGCACAGATTCTAAGCTTTCCAAATAAGTACATTTATCAGTTGCACATATAATATTACACGTAAAAAGGTAAGTTTATTTACCAATGTCATTTAGTCTCTATAAATGTTTGCCGACCAAACCTGGCAAGGCGACGCGTGTGTGCAATGGTAGTGGTCCCGGACTAACTTCTCCCATCACAGTTCCCAGCTGCCCCACAAAGTATTAAATACATAAAGAATCCATCTCTAGATTCTTACATATTATTTAGTATACTAAATACAATTATTATTAATTTTGTGTATGTAAAAATTCTTGGAAAAAATTATTGCGATGTACAAAAACAATAACATGTATAGGATTAAATTAATATTTAAAATAGAATTTGTTTTTATGCAAGTACCATAATTAGAATAAACAGGCTATTAAATAAGGAGAAGGTTTACAATGCACTAATGACTGTTTCTATGTTTAAAAATTGTAGCAAATAATCTCTGTGAATTTGACATACTGAAGAACTATATTGTAAATTTTTGCCTTCTCCTTATTATTTATTCTTTATACAATACTTACATTCAATCTTTTGTTGTCAATGTCTTTTGTTATCCAAAATATTGAATATTTCCCAAAGAAAATAAATATCAGGAAAATATAATCAACATTTATAGAAACTATAATACAATAGTAATATATAATATTTGACACCAACATTGCATACGCACATACCTATGTCATAATTTTTTCACTAAATATAATATGACATGTTGATTACAATAGACCAGAAAGCATTTACATGTCTTATATCATTTGTAAAAATTAAAATTTATCTGGCAACGAAAGTAGAGAATGTTAGAAATTAAACTAAAATAAGATTTGTGTGAAATAACATATTGTTACATAATGTTAAATAGTATAGATATTTATGGCATATTGAACAATAAATAGGCTATTACTTAATACCTAAAATGAATGCAGCCAAATTGTAAAAAATGTATACAACATAATAAATTATATCAGATTTACTTTTATAAATGTGTTCTGTTTGGTGAGCTCCTTACATGTGTCTGTGGAGAAACCAAATATAAATAAGCAATATATGCTATAATAAAATTAAAAAAGCAAAGTAAATATAACAAAACTAATATTGTACAATAAAAAAAAAATGTAATTTACACAGAACTAAAAATATTTTTCTAAGTAGATATGAACATAATTGCAACATGCTTATTATTATCAGATTAATATCACTTGCCGATTGCACAATCATAAAACATTAATAAAAAATTTTGGATAAGATATTAGTATTGCTACCATAAATTAGTATAATTTTTTATTTAAATAGAAACTCTTAAAATTGAAAAACACTTATACATTTCACTTTTTTTGCCCACATCAATAATGTACATAAAATAAAATTAAGTATATGTGCATTGAATTATATGCAGTGCTATATAAAAGATACACCAACAATTAGAAAACATTAGTTGAATTATATAGTGAGAAATATTTATAAATAATATATAGAAAGCAGATATAAAAGATTGTTTCTTTTGCAGAAATTATTTGTTACTGATAGCATAAATAGTGTGCAAGCGGCAAATTTTAGACAATATTTTTTATATGAAAATTGATGCCTGGAAAATAATTTGGTTTCTCAGGCTACATGCAATAACATTCATTAAATAATAGATATAAACCAGATCCTCCTTCAACATAGCTATGGATAAATAAAATATACTCAATGTAAAAAAAATTACAAAAATTATAGAGCATAATATTCACTTCATAAACCATGTAATGATATTAATGATTTGGTGTTACAGAAGTATAATGAGATCTAGAGAGATTTAAGAACTTGAGAGTAATTAATTGAACACTGAAAATTATGTTTAATGTTCAATTGCAATATATTTAAAAACTTTAGTAGTTTTATATAAACTTTCAATATAGGTCAAAGTTTCGTCAAACTTTACTATAATTATTTTCCTTACTTTAATACTTTCAAAAAAATCACAATATGTACATTTTCAAGATTTGTTGTTTATATGCTACATGTCTTTTTGATTTTTGTAATTTACGTTTACATTAAAATACACTATACTATAATATTAAAAAGTTGTAAGTGCAGCACAGATATTTTGTTGACTAATATTATCTCAACTTACTTCTAATAATTAAAAAAAGTCACGCATTAAACACAATAATTTTAAGTAACATTTCATAATTATTAATATAAACATAGGAAGAATAAATATGATGATTCATTTTTAAATAAATATAAATAAATACTGTACTTTAGAATTTTTAAATAGAAAAATAATTCTTTTCAAATTTGCAAAGATACGGAAATGTTAACTAATAATGTAAATTTAATTAAACATTAATGCAAAAAAATTGAAGGTATTATTAAAAAATTTTAATATATACAAAATAATTATTTTTAATAGTTTCTCCTACCCACAAGTATAATACAAAGCATTTAAAAATAATCTTCTCAAAACATTATTTGCAATGGCTTCTGTCTCGTTACAATGTTCATTATCCGAATCTGCTGACAAAGAAATTAGTATAACATCGTTGCAGTATATATTTAGGTATTCTTTATTACCTCACAAGAAATATATATATAAATATATATATGTATGTTGTATAAAAATACAAGTTTTTAACATTTAGATTAAATTAACAAAAATATTTGAATTATTTAGAAATATTATTTTAATATTAGACATTAAACATAATTTTCGAAGAAAAAAAATTATATACAAAACAGAAAAATGAAACAATATTTTAAATATTTAATTTATTATGTGGATAAGGAATTGTCAAATTATAGTACTACACATATTTTGATTTTGAATAAATTTTTTCGTATAAACTCATTAATTCTTCACATGTTTCTTATAAGTAATTAATTACTAGAATAGTTGCATACATTTACTGCATCTGTAAAATAACTTTAATAAGAAGACTATATATAGATTCATGCCTATATAGTAGTATTTCAACTTTAATATATTTTATAACTGATCTTTTGTCATTGTAGAAACATTGTTAGTATTGTTAATAACCCACAAACCTAAATATGACAGTGATACACAATATTTCCTATTTGTATTAATAAGATTGTA